CCTCTGACCCTCCCCCCTCTCATGTGCTCTCTGTCTCTCTCATTCTCTCTGTCTCAAATAAATAAATAAAATCTTTAAAAAAAAAAAAAAAGAAAATGCTTTAACCTTACCAGATGTAATTGCTTTTGTTTTTGCCTCTCCTTTTCTAAATCCAAATGCCTAATTTTAAATTAATAAATGCTAAATAGTAAAAGCCTTTAAAATTAAAATTTACATCCTGTTTAATTACATCTTACTTAATAAATCATACTTGTGATATGCAGTAAACAAATCCTTTGCTTTTAATGTTTTCCATGACAATTGCCTTTAATAAGATCCCCAGATACTACCTAAACATAACCAGCTTTAGTAAAAACACCACCTCAGTTTCTGGATATTTCCTAGTGCAAACAAAATCTGAATAGTTTTTCCGTACTAGCTTTTCTCTTCTGTTTATGACTGATAGCTAGCCTGTATAATTTTTAATACAGCTAGCAACTGCTGATATTTGGCCAAATATACCATGTCACAACGATAAAAGCCAAGCAATATATGACTCTTATGCAGATCAAACATCTATATACAGAAATAGTCTTACTGTAACTACAGTTTTAATCCTAACGGTAATATACTCATATAAAGGCTTTATATAATGTGAACTATCTCACAGCTTTTGTTTTTCATTCATAACAATTTAATGTAAAACAGAACATCTATTAATTTTGACCAAGCCAAAAATAATAGCTATGATACTTTTAAAAGTCTTACCTCTGTAAGTTGAACTATCATGGCTTTTATTTTCACTGAGGATCCGGCATAAATGCAAACTAGAATAAAATAGAAATAATCTGCATTCATTTCCAATCCTAATATAGATGACCCTTAGAGAGCAAATTATATCAACTAAAAATATTTGGAAACATATCAGATGTGTTTAAATCCATTAGTTTATAATGAGAATAAAACAAACCTAAAAACCCTAATTGGTCAGAACTGGAGCATGCTAGTAAATCAATTCATTATTTTTGAAAACTGGAAATGAATAAAAAACACTTAATCTGCCTTTCACACATGAGCCAATAATTGTTAAGAAATGTCTCTGTACTGATGAATATGGACTCCAAAATCCTCAACAAAATCCTAGCTAATAGGATCCAACAATACATTAAAAGGATCATCCATCACGACCAAGTGGGATTTATCCCCAGGATGCAAGGGTGGTTCAACATTCGCAAATCAATCAATGTGATAGAACACATTAAT